AAAATATGCTAAAATAGCTTCAAAAATTGGTGGAATGTACATATCAATTTTTTCCTGGATTTGTTACATAAATTCCAACAATTTCAAGTTGATAATGGATGAGGATAATAATAATATTCAAAGAGAAACGTGAGAATGCCAATAGCTGCCAAACTCATGAAATTATCACAAACACTTCGCTTCTACGTGTTAGCAGATTGCTTCGTTTTACAAATAACATTTTCTCAAGTGCAAAATCTGCTTCAGGTTTTTGCTGTATATCAAAGGGAATTTTCCACCAGCCACTCTACAGTAGAGTTCATAGTCAGCAGGTACTAAGTTAGGATGGTCAAGTGCAGTATACACGTGAGCGGCATTATAAAGTAAAATAAGACCGTTTGGAATTATACAGTATTATGTAACGGAAGTTTAGCTGCATTAAGCTACTATACCCGGTGAAGGCTCTAAGAACAAAATACAGTTATATTAGGATGTTTCTTAATTGAAATTGAGTTAACTATTAGTTAGTTAATTAATTGAAAATAAGTTAATTTTTTTGCTAAACATTTTCGTGAACAAACTTGACAATAAATGTTGACATAGAGAATGTTAACTCTGCGGTCAAATGCGAATTTTAACAACAAAACACAGTGGGTTAATTTGCTGGCAGAGTAACTTCACTCATTTCACAGAACTGTAATGCAGTTTGCCTTTTTGCGATCATGTCCACGATTGAAGCTGCATAGTTTACCTTGCTTAATATTTAAATACGTGTGTATAACCACAAAGACCACTAACTCAATGATCCCGCTTAACTAGAATTTCGTGGAAAATGCCCGGGGAATAGTTTCATTATGTATATGAATTTGCTGACGTTGTGGGTCTGGACAATCGGGAAATTCTCCATTCGACAGTTCTTTATAAGCGAGTGTCATGCTAAAGTTGATACAGTTTAATTAAGTCAACAATTTTGGGCGACAATTTACCATCACAACAATAAACGGTTATAGAAGAATGAAAACGCCAAGAAAAAAAACTATATCGGATGAAGAGTTAGCTGAATTAGCAAAATCAGGTGAGTTTTTATAATTATGCAAACTGACAAAAAAAGAAACTAAAACTGGCTGCTGGAGATTCAGCAACTTTTATATAAATGTAAGCTTTGAACGATGAGACTGTGGCATTATCGAGGAATTGTTAATGGTGTGTTTTCACAAACAACCTATTTTCAACAGGAAATTTATAGTGTTTTACGATTTGCTTGATTGTCAAAACCGTAGGCTTGGATTTGGAACAAAAGATACACGTGAAAATGGATGATCATGAACGCACGACTAAAACTGCCAGGATTGTGTAACATTTAAATTCGAAAGTTCTAGTTTTCTTGCCTTTCGCTTAAAAACGATATTTGGCCCAAATTTTTTATTTATGCAGTCGAAACATTGATCAAAAGCACGTCAATTTAGGGAATTTAACTGATTCTCGATCTCTTCTAGTTTTTAAATGCTCATAGTTGAGATTAAATTGGAAAGGCACTATCTTCAACGAATAATGTAAAGAAAGTACAAAGTTTATGTCTAGCGATGGCTGAAAAACAGACAAGCACAATAAAGCAGATCCCTTAATTTTAATGTATTCAATGACTAAAATTCCTGAAAGAAAATATTCAATAATGTAAAAGCCATCGAATAATTCATAAATCGCTGTTTTTCAATTTTTTATCAAGTCAAGAAAAAAACTTTAGATTTACTTGAAAAACCGTTCAAACGGCTAAGTGCAATGGGATTAGTTCATTCATTAGAAATTAACTTTCATATTCTTAAGCTTCTGCAAAGAAAGTAAGTTATTTAAGCATTTCGCGAGTTTCAATAACTTTCATGCACAGCACATGCAAGTAAACTATCAACTTATCAATTTTTTAAGTTTCCAATTAGTTTCAAATGCCGCTGATTTAATTTAAACTACTCTCTAATGCCCAAGATTTGTCACGTTATTCTACTGGAAATGTGAAGGTTCATTCCATAAATTATTCCAGTAGAATAGCTGTTAGCCGTGCCGATAAACAGAGAGGATATTGCCTAGATTGTCTAACCTGTACCGAAAGTAGACGCCTCTTTATCATAAAATTAATCCCTTTGACAGTTTGAAAACTGTTGATATGGAGAATTAGTTGAAAGTTTCATGGAGTTGTTTAAACCTTAAGCAAGTCGTCCAGAATCTTCTAGGGAATTTTAGTAATATTTTAGATGAAAGTCAATTAGATTCCAAATCGTATTGCAGATATGGCTTAAATAATGAAAGCCCAGATGCCAAGATCAAAACTCGAGGATTATAAAATTGCCATTTTTGTTCCTGCAAGTCAACTCATTGGAAGGAAGTCAATATGTTGTCTTTCAATATCTACATTCAATATACATTGACGTTTTATTTGCATACATTATTGGGTGTAATTTTATTTCAATAAAACCAACTAGTATTAAATGAACTTGTTTCCTCTCAACTTCTTTGTACTTTCTTTTATAACCTTCTATAAACTATTTTTGCAGTAGACAGCAATTCTGATCGTAGCGACAAATAGACTTCGGAAAGTTTTATTGCATTGTTAATTTGAATCTATAAACTTGAGGATATAAGAAGTCATTGACCAGTGAATATACATTTTGAAGTTAATAGTTTTTATCAAAAACTGTCTCCATTTTTTCGCTTCTAAAAGGAGCTAGCCATAATGGCACACGCCTCGGAACCGCAATCTCCTAAACCAAAATATGACCGTCCAGCAGGACCTTTTCACCTTATAATTTGACCATTTCCTATGCTTCTCACGTGCATCCCTTCTAGTCAACGACCGAAACTGAGTACCTACTGACGATGAGCTCTATTATAATTTGTTCGTACCACGTTTCTCGAAAATTGTTAATGTAACGAGTAACTTTTTATGCAATTGCCTTTTGCGAGAATACATTTAGTTTGATAACGGGGAAATGTCGACAGAGGCAAAAAGAATATAATTTTTTTAGCACCATCAGTGCTGAGTGCTCCACTTTTCGCATTATTTAATAGCAGAACATTTTCAGCTACTTTTGGAAAAGGCACAGTTTGAGTGGCAAATATAAAACGGCGCTACAGGTTTTTATAGTTACACTTCTACAAAAAATATATTTTTAAATGCTATTCAGTAATTTGCCGATATTTCTTATGTTTCTTGACGATTTTTGTGAACTAAATTTGACAGTTACTCTGAAAGTACACGTTTATATGAATCACTCTAGACTTTCGGTTGCCTTTCAAGGAAGAAAGGAAAATAAAAGGAATCACCTCTTAAAAGGACAAGAAAGAGTTGTACTTGTTGCATCTGCCTAAAATTTTTGTACTCTTGTAGTAATCAATAGCAATCAAATTTAAAAAAGTGTAATTGCCCTCATACTTGAATTACACTAAAAAGTGTACAAAATGTGAAACAATCTATCTACTAAAAACATTTGATGAATACTATTGTAGATGCGTAAATTTGAAATTGTGCAGCTTTATTATTTCAGTTATAGAAAAATGTTCAAACATACTTTTTAAATCGTCATCACTTCCTAAATATTTATTAAAATATTAATATAAAACGAGCTTTTTATCGCGTAGTAATACCTGCTGCAATGAAAGGGTTATTATAAATTTATATATCTCTGTTTTGTTTTAAGTCATATTTTCCTATAATTTGCATATTGTACATTATTATTCTGTAACCAACTAAGCGAACAATGGAAAATATTTGAAACGCATCCAGTTATAACGAAAAAAAACTAATGGAAGTTTGAGCAGATACACTCAAAGCGATGCATTGAAATTAATTTAACAAAAGTTGGGCCCTGCTGCAAAGCTTTATTTGCAAGCAGCATTCTATGATTTCGAAGTAATAAATGGCCATACTATTGCGTCCGTCAAAATTGAGTGCCTGAAGCTACAAATTTGAATACTCCTGATCAAAAATACAATTTCCATCCCGAAACATATCTGCCAATAGAAAAAACAGTAAAAAGATCAGATGGATCAAATCTATTCAGGGACAGGCGGTTTCAATTGCCCTAATTTTTAAGTAAATTACTTGTTTTGGCATAATAAGTTGTTAAAATCAGTAGTGTTTTTGAATTAAATCATTTCTTAGTGCTTTTGAGACGGTGCAAAAAGTTTAGCTATTTAGACGGTCCAAATGTGATCAATGGGGGTTGTATTCAGAACCTGCCTGATGATTATATCAGTTTCATTTTCTATTCTGTAATCACTGATTTATTTAGTTCAAAAAATCTCATATTGCTCCTAAAATCCGTAATTAAGTATTAATCAAAAGAAAAAAGAATCATTAAATGAATTGAATCTGGAGAAGATGCCGTTATTACGGTATTAAATTCTGAACAACTTACTGATGCAATATTAACAATAATTGTTTGAAACAATCGGGGAACAGATTAGTACAATATAACTTCATGCAAATAAACCAATTTAAGAAAATATGTATTTTAGCCGTCAATTTTCGGTAAAGCCACTTTATCTAGTAGGTAATTTTCAAATCGAAGACGACAAAAGCAGTTAAAGCATGATTTTCGGCTTGTCAAGGATAATTTCGGCTCTTGATTCACAGCATACTCTTATCGCTTTATCTTGAGCAATTCAGAAGGAAAAATATGAACAGGCATAAATTTTACGATCCGGCCGTCAGTTTATAGCTCAATTTTGAGATAATCACAGGACTGTCGGATAATGCTGCAAATCGAAGCCACAGAAGCATAAACGCAAGACGATGGATATGAACTGAAAGACAAGGGAAAGATATTCCGAACGAGGATCTTTAGTACGATCTAGACAAGAGGCAGTAATGCAGTTGGGGCTTTAGGCAACCATCAGCAGTATGTTCATAGATTTTGAAAATATCTGCTGATGATTATCCGTTTGCCTGTTTTTGTTATTAAGAAAAAACATGTTTTTGCCGTCTAAACTCTTTTAACGCTAAAATGTGAAACACTAGTATTACTCACCTCTAGAAATCAACGTGCTGCCATTATACCAATTAACCTTAGGAATGGGTTTTCCACTGCCGGCTTCGCAGACAAGATCAACTTCTTCACCTTCCTCTTTCGGTCCCAAAATGGAACCATTTCCCATTGAAACACCATTGAGTCCGATGATCCGAACAACTTCAGGCTTAACTGAAACCAATATTTGAAGTGTTAAAATAGGGTTGACTTGCATTGGTTTGAGGGCAGATTAATTCGTATGAAATTGAGTAAGAATTGCTTTAACATGGATTGAAAAATGAAACATTTTTCTCGTGTTCCACAGTACTTCCTATTGAATATTTCAATACTAAAGTTATTTTATTAGGAATTATTTAAAAAACCATTTTCAATGTTCACTTTCGTGCCAATTCAAATATTTCCTCGATATATTTTACCAAACTTTGTTGTTTTATAGCCCATAAAACACGGCAAAGTTTGCTTTTGCTGCTCCACCATGTGTCATTTTTATCAATAAGGGTATTATAAGTTAGCAACCTTTCACTGTGTTATACGAGGTCAACATAGAATGGCGTTTTTCCAAAGTTTGCATGAAATATATTGAATACATCGTTCAGAAGTTTGAGGGCGTTCTTATATGTTCGCAAAAATAGCGTCGCCACAACCAAAAACTGCAATAACGTAGGTACCATGTGCAAAAAGACACCAAGTAGATTTTCAAGTTGTTCTTCAGCAAATACTTCTCGCTTGTAGGCTTTAAACTGTTTATGAAAAATTTTCCACTAATACGCCCTTCTTTAAAATAATATGAAAAAATTTGTGACAGCCCAGCATCGAGGTTTATTTGTAACAGTTGAATCACAAGTAATTGCATTGTTTTATGCCTGCTAACCCGCCTAACCGACTCCGTTAGTTAACTGGCTTCTGTTCTATATCAAGCTGGATTAAATATTTACTTGACAATTTACAATTTATTGCGAAAATCTGATAGTAACCAGTCTCATTATCTTCGCGATAATTGGTGTCAGATGTGGCAGCAAAATATTCATAACTTGCATGGGAATTGCAAACTTTGACAAACTATCCCACCGCAGATACGAAAACAATGCTCGGTTTAGTAAACATTTTGGGTCAAACGATGCCCGGGTATGCATATTTGAGAACATGCTCATTATCGAACATTGTTGATAATTATTTTTAAGTCAACCGGCTTTGGCCTGGGCCTCACTATTTCGAATTTATTAGAGCGTTAATGGTAAATCAGATTTTATCTCTAAAGGAACAACAAGGTTTTGACAGGAATTATTCGGTAGAAAATCGAGCTGTTGTTCTTAGTATGTGTTGACATTGATATTTACTAGGTTGCTTGCAGCAGATATCGAATTTGGTTTTTCTAGAGCTGACAAATGCAGTCTGTTAATTTTTAGAGAAGAATCAAGAACAGATCTGACTAGATGCTCGATTGAGCTAACTAACTGCATTATGATGCTAAAGCAAGAGCTTTAGTAAAAACGATGTGAATATGCCAACATAATCACTGAGGAATATAATATCCGATTGAGAAAAGATTTATTTCCCAGTAATGAAATTATTAGATTATAATCATTCGCATTTCAAAGCATCATAATTTACGAGCAAATATGCAAATGGGGAGAATCTATTAAAATTCTCTAGCTGTGTGGAAATGTATGCTGATAAAACAGAGTTATTCTAAGATATTACACTCTCCAACTTTAACGGAATAATAATTTAACGTGTATTCACTGGCAAGTTGAGCCAAAATGTTGCTTTAATTTCGAAACTAAGTCGATTCAACAGTTGGGATTTGACTAATTGCTGCGATAATGGCAGATATGGTATGGCGTATCAGGGTTCATCAATATCACTTATCGTCTAGGAATAAGCTATTTCCCAATTCAAAATATCTCGTAACTTACAAGTTTGCACATAATTTCCACACTTTAATACGCAAATACAATTACTAATTGTTTCCAACAAAAGAGCAATTGGTACAAAACGCTTTACACCATACATATTTCTGTAATCTTCTACACCTATAATTTTTCTGCATTATCCACTCTTTAGTAAACACAATATGAATCATAAAATCTGAACAGAAATGCTCAAAAAGTAATCGACTTTGGGGTGAGCCTCATTTAATATTATTTAAGTACATTTCTTGTGATGTTGACATCGTAAGCAAGAAGATCGGAGGGCTCCTGATAATGCTTCAAGTACAATCAACACATGAAAATAAGCTACTTATGGGACTTTTGAAATAAAATTACTTAAAGCTGTTGATAATGAATTGAAGAAGATGTACAATTCCTCTAAATTGGGTGTTACAACTTCCGGCCTAAAAAGGACTTCTAGAATATGTGTCGAAAATAATACACATCTGAATATAAAATTTTAATTCTCACTAATTGGTTACTCTCATTATACCTTTCTTTTCTATTAGTTATAAGTTCCCATCAATATTACGTTACATGAATGTATTTGTGAGACAATACAGAACCATATTCATTGTAAAGGTAGTAATTCACATGGCTGAACTAAAAGCAATGCTTTAAAGTCTGGAATAACGGAAATAGATAGAAGAATACATTGGTAGCGGTCGTTATACAGAATTATTTTTCCGACATTAAAATTTTTATGCCGGAATATTAGCAGCCCTGGAATCGTTGGTATGAGTCTATAATACAACAAAGCTGCGCTTCTGACAAAAATGAATTCCTCTTTTCTAGCTGAGTACTTAGTGTCGCGGTTCATGCTGTGAAGATTGTGAGAACAATAATTTAATAAATTTCTGCGTAAATTACTTCTTATAAATAATGTCTCTAAAGTAGAGGGCATTTTTTAACTATTCTCCTGATACAGTCAAAACCGCTTTAAGCAATAATTCGCGAGAGGCTTAGAGGCTTTTTAGGGTCTCATTTCTGGGCTAATAAGTTTAATAAACATACTATATTTAATAGCCAACAAATGTAAGTAAATTGAAGAAAAGAAATGGAACAAACTAACTGACTATCGGAGAATTAAAATATGTATTATCATTTCCAACAAAATAGTTGACTACGAACTGGTACGGCAACTGCTGATTACTATTTGATGCGAATTCAAATGCGTCTACTTTCATTTATCAGAGAATTACTATCACGACTAGCGGCAAATTCAAACAAGTTTCAAAAACTATAGTGACACTTGCAGACTACATTAATTCACTTTCGTAAAAAATGGAAAATGAGTTTCTTAAGGGCCCTTCGTGCTGTCTAATCTCACCACCAGTTGAGAAATTGGACCACCGCTCAAATAAAGAATATACACTTATGTGCACTAAGCACTGCCAATGCAAAATAATACAAAGCCTAATAAATACAACTGCAAAATATGCTAAAAATATGTAGACAAATTAATTGTCTGAACTGAAATCGAGATTTAAAAAATACCAAAAATCTGCCTGCTATTTTGGTAAATAGGCTGAAGCGGAAGCGTTGCAGTTCATTACCGCAAAATATCCTCAAATAATAAAATTGATCCAATTACGCTGCGATCTCCGCTCACGAAGCAAAACTCTGTTCAAATTGAATAAAATACCTATTTGGATCAGTGCTTCGTGTTTGTATCAATTCGGCATGTGTATGTCCATTTCTGCAATTTCGAAAAACATTTAATTCTTTCAATTAGGTGCAATTGCGTAATTATATATTCTGATTTAATTGAAGTATGTCTAAAAGCTTTTATCCACTTTAAAAGCTACTAGTACAGCTATTTACAGTTAACGTATTACTGAGAATATACATTTTTCTAGGGTGCACGGTAATAGGAACGGTGATTTCTGATATTTATTTTCATTTTATTGTTACTTTGACCATATTATTGGTTATAATGGAAATATTTATTGTCATTAATTTTTGTAAATATTTTTCCGAGCATAATGATATTTTTCATTTTAACCGTTTTCTTCGACGCCAGTTACATCTGATGCATCAAAATAAACGTTATAAGCTCAAATTTTCCTAATTTTGGAACTAGATAAATTCTGATTGTTCACAGCGATTTGGTTTCTCTTTGAAGCGTTATTGGGCCCTATTTGTTTTCTGTTAAAAATTAAGCCCATTAGATAAGTATTCTACATAGCGGAAAATTAAAAAAGGCAAAAACGATGCTCCTAGTTGGATAAACAAAAGGTTTTTTTGACCTCAACAGCAAACGTTTAAACTCAAAACATCAAAAAATAAACGAATTAATTCATTTTTTCTTAGCTTAAGTTTGTCTGTTCTAGCTATAACTTCCCTATTCCTGGACCCAGTTTCACTATCTAGAGCTGATGTCGAAGCTTGAACTTCAGAGACAAGACGAAAATTTGATATAGAGGGTTGCACAAAATATCACCCAAATATGAATTGCCCTTGAGATCGGTGATTCTTTAAAATATTTCGTTAATTCATGCAACCCTGTATATTGGATTATTATTTCCTCAAGTCCTCTGTGAAGGTTTATCTTCACCACAAGCCCTAGATTTCGAAAATGGGTTCAAAAGAATTAAATTATCACTGCAAGTTGATTTTTAAGTTCACTCTGTAAAATAGGTTTTCTGTCCAACTGCGAACAAGCGGAACTTTAGAACAAGAGAAAAAAATTAAAATGGGAGTACAATTCCACATAGACCGTTCTTTTTCACAATTGCAAATTAAACAAATGTCTTTGAATGGAACGACCTGATCACTAAATGCACAAATTTGTGTCATGTCTTTATCGGACATGACACAAATCCGCGGTTCATAAGTCCAAGATTTAATTAGTCTTCTGTTTACTTGCCAAACTTAAGGAAAACCGAAGTTAAAGCCAGCCCTCTGCATTACATTAAATAGCCGATCCGCTGCCTAGCTTGTTTATCCAGGTAACGTATCTGCACAAATAGCCCTTAGTCAACAAAATTGGCAAACGCAAACTGGCACCTTGTATTATGAGCATTTGTGTTTTATACACCTTTTATCTAGTGAAGATTTGATGACTGACGTGATGAATGATGAGTATGAAGGATGTAGGGTTCGAGCAGATGGTCTAAGAGTCGCTAAAATAAAAACTTAACTTTTATATTTAATATTCGCCTGGTTGCATCAAAAGTTAATGAATTTCCGTCGACAAACATTTGAGTGAAAGACCACAATACCTAGAAACCGACCGTA